CAGGCGGGTCTCGAACCCGCGGGCTCAGGCAGTCTACTCACCTCAGCCTCCCAAAGGCGCAGGATTACAGGCTGAGCCACTGAGCCCGGCGTAAATAGAAAAATTTTCTAATCTGGGTTCAATTTTTGACAATGTGTGTTGTTGCTTTCATTTTTTTTTAATATATATTTTAAGTAAAAAATGCCCTGCCAATTTACAGTCATATACAGCAGAGAGATTATTGTCTTCAAGGACTATTTTTTAGCAGCAGTGTTTTTATTCTGTATGTGTATACAGATAGCAGTGTGCAGGCCTGTTTTGAAGAATGCATTTGGGATCGTGGATTTTGTGCTCGACTTTCTAATGGCAGTCATCCATGAGCTTGAGGATTTTGCGAAAAGTATTTTAGAATAGTGAAAAAAATGATGTGATTCTAGCTAAATTGTTGCTTTATCCTAGTATGTAAACTTTTCCTTAAATAAATGATAGAATAATACATGGTTCTCTAACATTGTTTTTCATTAACAAAAAAGTTTTGACTAAACGTTGCATTCATAGGAATTCATAATGGTGTTTTATAGACCATAAAAAACTCACCATAATATAATGAATTTCATTTTATTCAAAAATTTATTAAATCCAAGGAGAAACATGGACTTCACAGCAACTTAGATGGATTTAGAGTCTATAATACTGAGTGATCTACCACCAAAACAAAGAATAGAGTTCCATATGTTCTCACTCATAAGTGAATCTTGAACATTTACCATAATACTATAAAAAAAGGACTGGCAGTAGCAGGATACTGCCTGGGTGGGGATGTAATATAATAATAAGGGTCCCTGATCTCAGGCGAAGTGGGGACCAAAGGGAGACCCAAACTTGACCTGTATGATGTCCACTTATATACCTAATCCTGAATTGTATCCCACATCTTTAAAATTAAAAAAAAAAAAAAGCCCAGGCACAGTGGCTTAAACCTGTAATCCCAGCACTCTGGGAGACCAATGCGAGAGGATTGTGTGAGTCCAGGGGTATAAGACCAACCTGGGCAATTTGGTGAGACCTCGTCTATACAATAAATAAAAAAATTGGCTGGGCATGGTGGCATGCATCTCTAGTTCCAGGTACTTGGGAGGCTGAGGAGGAAGGATCACCTGAGCCCAGCAAGTCAAGGCTGCGGTGGCTGTGAGTGTGCCACTGCACTCCAGCCTGGGCAACAGAATGAGATTCTGACTCAAAAAGTTCAATTAAATTAAAAAATCAATTAAGTTCAAGCCATCACTGTTACAAAATCATAGGCTAAAACCTTATATGTAAATACTAATACAATAAATAATCCCTGGAACCTTTAAATCATAAGTTACGCCTTTTCGCTATTCGAATCAACACTCAATAAATTATCTGTAGAAAATTGTAAATCTGATCAAATAAATAACATTAAAATGTCGGAATGCTATGTGAAGGGGGCAGCGGTTTGGTAAGGTGTTCCAAGGACATGCCCACCTTGTGACTTTGCTGTCGTAAGCCCCCGGGTAGAAGCAGCTTTCGTGTTTCGCCCTTCCTGCTACCCTGGAGAGTCAGGTCTCTCAAAGACAGAGGCCCGGGCGAGCCCAGAACACGACTGAAATCCCAAAGCAGGAGATGAGGCTGGAGTGGGCACAGCTCAGTCTCTTCTGGCTGAGAACAGCTTCACCCACGCCGTGGCAGGCTCTGGCTCGAGTTTTGGCTCGGCCCCTGTCCTTGAACACATTGCTTAGGCTTCTGAAATCTTGCGGAGAAGTCTCCCTGTGCTTGTCGTGTGGCAGGTACTCTACATATAATCGACTTATCACATTTAAGATAACTTATTAAAATGCATCTGAAATTCAACCTAAACTTTTCTTTTCCTGGCTGGGTACAGTGGCTCACGCCTGTAGTCCCAACAGCAGTTTGGGAGGCCAGGGTGGGAGGATTACTTGAGGCCAATCGACAGGGTCTTGCTCTATTGAACAGGCCTGTCTCGAACTCCTGGCCTCGAGTGTTCCTCTCACCTTGGCCTCTCAAAGTGCTGGGACTATAGGCATAAGCCACTACACCCAGTCTAAAGCTTTTTTTTTTTTTGAATCTGAGTCTCACTCTGTCACCCAGACTGGAGTGCAGTGGCCTCTCCCAGCCACCGCAGCCTCGACCTGCTGGGCTCCGGCGATCCTTCCGGCTCAGCCTTCCAAGTAGCTGGAACTACAGGCGCACGCTACCACGCCCGACTCATTTTTGATTTATTGTAGAGATGAGGTCTCGCCGCCCAGGCGGGTCTCGAACCCGCGGGCTCAGGTAATCCACTCACCTCAGCCTCCCAAAGGCGCGGGATTACAGGCTGAGCCACCGAGCCCAGCTAGCTTTTATTTTGAAATAATTTCATTTGCACAAAAGCTGCAAGAATAGTATAAATAATTTTCATATAACCTTCACTCAAACTTTTGTTTGTTTTGAGTTGGAGTCTCCGTCACTCAGGCTGGAGTGTAGTGGCATGCTCACAGCCACTGCAACCTCGACCCGCTGGACTCAGGTGATCTTTCCGCCTCAGCCTTCCAAGTAGCTGGAACCACAGGCATGCACCACCATGCCCAGCTAATTTTTTTATTTACTGTAGAGACAAGGTCTCACCATGTTGCTCAGGCTGGTCTGGAACCCCTGAGCTCAGGCAATCATCTCACCTCCACCTCCCAAAGTGCTGAGATTACAGGCTTGAGCCACTTCATGTGGCCAAACTTTTTTTTTTTGAGTCAAGGTCTTACTCTGTCACCTAGGCTGAAGTGCAGTGGTACAATCACAGCTCACTGTAGCCTCAACCTCCTGAAATGAGCTCAGGTGATCCTTCTACCTCAGCCTCCCAAGTAGCTGGGACTACAGGTGTGTACCACCACATCTGGCTAATTTTATTTTTGTAGAGAAAGTCTTGCTGTTTCCCAGGCTGGTCTCAAATTCCTGGGCTCAAGTGATCCCACCTCAGCCTCCCAAAGTGCTGGGTTTACAGGCATGAGCCTGTAGCTGGAACTACAGGCGCGTGCTACCACGCCCGGCTCATTTTTTAAATTTATTGTGGACTCAGGCAATCCACTCACCTCAGCCTCCCAAAGTGCTGGGATTACAGGCTGAGCCCGGCTAATGTTATCATTTTAATCAAATTTGCTTTTATCATTCTCTATTCTGTAAAATAATTTGGGGCCAGGCTCGGTGACTCAGCCTGTATAATCCCAGTGCTTTGGGAGGCTGAGGTGAGTGGATTGCCTGAGCCTGCAGGTTCGAGACCCGCCCGGGCAACTTAACCTCATCTCTACAATAAATAAAAAAATTAGCTGGGCGTGGTAGCATGCGCCTGTAGTTC